GCGTCTATTTCTCTGTAATGCCACCGAGTAGCAAATGTCACAGGCAGCCCAGTAAATAAGTGACATAAAAGCAGACACCCCAGCTCTCCTGCCACTCAGCCACGGGACCTGACTGAGTTTTCTTCACAGTCCTATTCACAACCCAAACTTTAGCTTAAAAATAAAAACACTTCTGGGGGGTCACTTGAGTGTCTCTCATTGTTATACATTGTTGCCAACATCTTTATTGTAAGAATCTGTATTGGGGTGGAAAGTAAGGTGTTTCTTGAAAATCTACCAATACATGTGGATGGGTACACATTTCTTCATGCAGTTTTTGACAATGTTTTGCTTTCAATGGGGAACTGTGACTCCGTTGCGCCGATGACTCACTTTCTAATACAAATAAAAGTGCTAAGCTCTTTACCAGAAAAGAATGGCTTAGCCTGCAGAGCACTTCACCTTCCGTCCAGAGGCACTTGAGCCCCAGGGCATGTTGCACCAATTGCTTAATTACCTGATACAAACCATTGTGTTCGTTTTACATTTGTTTTGAATGCACGGTTCGTGTTTTGTTTCTGAGGAGTTAACATACTGGCACCTCCAGTGATTCTCAGTCAAGGGGATTCTCAAGTAACTGCTCCAACATGGCAGCTGCAAGCTCTTTAGTGAAAGCGTGGGTGGCTCTGAAAAGAGCCTTTGGTTTGGATGTTGCGATGTGCTCCTCACTTGCCCTTGGCCTTGTGGTGGCTCTCGGTCTTCTTGGGCAGCAGCACGGCCTGGATGTTGGGCAGCACGCCGCCCTGCGCGATGGTCACCTTGCCCAGCAGCTTGTTGAGCTCCTCGTCGTTGCGGATGGCCAGCTGCAGGTGGCGCGGGATGATGCGCGTCTTCTTGTTGTCGCGGGCCGCGTTGCCCGCCAGCTCCAGGATCTCGGCCGTCAGGTACTCCAGCACGGCCGCCAGGTACACGGGCGCGCCCGCCCCGACGCGCTCGGCGTAGTTGCCCTTGCGGAGCAGCCGGTGCACGCGGCCCACGGGGAACTGCAGCCCGGCCCGCGAGGACCGCGTCTTGGCCTTGGCGCGCGCCTTGCCGCCCTGCTTGCCGCGTCCGGACATGATGAACAGGAAACCTCCGCTCAGACCTTGATCTGAGCTGAGTCGCCCGCAGCTGCCCTCTTTATAGTCGCGCCGGGGCGCGAACGTGAGTCTGTGCCATTGGCGGCAAGTTACAGCCCTTTCCCTTCAACCAATGGGATCCTGGTTCTGAAACACACTCGTTGTCAGTGGACAACATCGCGGTGACGTTTCCGGGACTCACCACCAGTCGGACACGCCTCTACTCACCGCCGCCTGGAAGGAGCCTGAACCGGAGGACACTCGCAGCCTCGCAGTCGCTCCTCCATTTGTTTCCCGGCTTCTTCGGCGGTTCCTCCCGACCATGCCCGAGCCCGCCAAGGCCGCGCCCGCCCCGAAGAAGGGCTCCAAGAAGGCGGTGACCAAGGCGCAGAAGAAGGACGGCAAGAAGCGCAAGCGCAGCCGCAAGGAGAGCTACTCGGTGTACGTGTACAAGGTGCTCAAGCAGGTGCACCCCGACACCGGCATCTCGTCCAAGGCCATGGGCATCATGAACTCGTTCGTCAACGACATCTTCGAGCGCATCGCGGGCGAGGCGTCGCGCCTGGCGCATTACAACAAGCGCTCGACCATCACGTCCCGCGAGATCCAGACGGCCGTGCGCCTGCTGCTGCCCGGCGAGCTGGCCAAGCACGCCGTGTCCGAGGGCACCAAGGCCGTCACCAAGTACACCAGCTCCAAGTAGACGCGCGAGCGAGCGGCCTGACTCCTGACCCAAAGGCTCTTTTCAGAGCCACCCATGTTCTCCGAGAAGGAGCTGGTGCGAAGTCGGGCAACAACCTTTGGAGAACCTGTGGATCACCAAAGACAAAAACACCTGCTTGGCTCTCAAGGGCCTGGGAGTCCGTAGCATTTAGGAATTTCCCACATTTAATAGGGCTCCCCACCATTTCTCAGGGTTCGGGAGCGACGGAGAGGAAAATGTTAAGCTCTAAGCAAACTTAAGCACGGCCGGCTCCGGACCAGGGATAAAGCCGGACTCCCGCCTGGGCCGAGGCTGCGCCGGGGTTTGAATTCGCCCGGGAGCGCGCGCCCTCGCACCGGTCTGGCCATCCAGCTGCCAGGAGGGTCCCTGCCCCGCACCCCCCGCACCTGTGGGTGGTCCCACCTGCTGCTCGCCTTTCCTTTCCTTTGCGTTGTGCCCTGTTCAGGAGTGAGACTTCCTCTTGACATTTTGGTTGGAGGGAAGCCCTTGCCCTGTTCAAGTCGTGTTTACACCGCAATTCTTAGGTACCGCAGGGGTTGAGTCCTTTCCCCGGGTCTCTCCTATGTGCCCAGGGCCACAGGACCATAAATACCTGCTTGTTTTCTCCGGTGGCTCCCTTATTGCAGGGGCCTCGGCTGAGAACTCGGCGGGTGGAGGGGAGTCACTTTTCTTCCCGGAGCCTTGATGAGCCTGGAAAGCCGGCGTGTTCTCTCCCCGCACAGCAAGGCCTTGCGCCGGGAAGGAAAGCGACTGATTCAGAAGCCGGTCTCCTTTCGGAGCAGAGCTTTGCGGCTTTAGGGAGGTGCAGGGAGAGGGACTTAAAAAAGGGAAATGCTGATACGGAAGCTCGAGTTCATTTTCTCCCTCACATCCTTCCTGTTAATAGAAGGAAAACCTGATTAAAACGAGGCACATGTCTGAGGCGAACAGCGGTAATCGGAGGGAGGGGAGGGCCCTCCGGGCACTGAGGTTCTTCAGAGGGTTCCCTCCTGGCAGGGTGAGGGCTGGTTACAGCTGATGACAGCCAGGAGCGCCTCGAACCCGGACCCGGACGGTGCAGAGAAGGCTTAAGGGGCTGCAGCCGCCGGAAGGGGTAACAAGAACCTGACCGCAGAGCCAGTCCAGGGTGCGTTCAGCCGGCCTTTCCACTACCCTTGTTTTGCTCTGACTATAAAATAAAGCCTCGGCTTGCAGGCTGGATCTTTCTGCATCTTCATCCAGGCATGGGAGATCCTCCCAGCCCCAGCTGTATTCTTTGTCTTTAATCCTTCGCCGCCCCTCCTCGGGTTCACCCTTGGCCGCGCTGGCACAGCACAGTAAGCATCTTTGTATCTAGTGTAAGAACAAGAATTCCTTGCCAGCACCTTATTTTAAATACAGTGAAAGAGTCCGTAGGGGAAAAAGTAAAGTCTTATTCAGGCCTGAAAAGAGTGGCGAGCGGCCTGGACTGATGAAGATGAAACCTGTCCTGCTGTCACCCCGGCTGGGAGAACGTACGGAGAACGCTGGCTGCAGAGTTACCCGGGGTGTCTCTCCAGGTCACCTACAGGGTTATTCTCCCCCAGTGATTATTGTTTCCTACCAAGGATGCCCCAACCCACTTTGCTGTACCCCACCATTATTGGGGGGTGCCTAATTCATAAACCGCCCATGTCTCCTGACAGCACCCAATCCTACTTGGCTCCTCCTAGGCCCCTCGGGAAACCTCAGCACACCTGAGACTGATCCGGGCCCCCCAGAGAAAAGCCACTGACAATGATAAGCAGTGAACTCACTGGAAAAAACTTGTGCTTTTAAAGACAACTCTGGAAATATTGATATGTATGTATCATAGATATAAAAATTGGAACCGGATGGGCAAACCAGGAAACTGTTATACTAACCAAGATGAGATATGTAATGGATGCTAAACATAAGAGTTCTAATTATGAGTTGGTTGAAAATAAAAGCCCCTTCAAGCAATGTTACATCAGGTAAAATTGAGGGATGTTCCGAAAAATCTGTTCTACCGAAATGCAAGAATGACCACTTCTGGAAGGACAGGGAAAGTACTCAGATCATAGTGACTGAGGATTAGTGTTGCCCAGGTAAAGGTCAGAACAAGGGGCAAATATTTTAGGAATACATCCAAGAGACTTTTGAAAGTACTTTTTAGGAGATTAACACACTAAAAACCGCTCAGTCGACGAGGGTGGGATTCGAACCCACGCGTGCAGAGCACAATGGATTAGCAGTCCATCGCCTTAACCACTCGGCCACCTCGTCTCCATAGACTAATCCTCTGGACCATGTCACTCCCAGATGGAGAGGCTCTGGGCAATGTCCGGGAGGTGGGGCCTTGGGGACAGCTTCCTTCCCTTGCATAAGCAAGGACAAATCAGCTGGGACACGATGGAAACATATGTGCAAGGCCTTCGCTCCTTCCCAGAAGATGGAAGAATGTTCTCTGATGATAATAAGATCAAATTAAAGTCAGTAACAGAAGGAAATTTGAGAGAATTAACAATCCATGAGTATAAAAGAAATCAGAAGGGAAATGTAAAAGTATTTTGGACTGAATAAAAGAACCCAAATACATCAAAATTATGGCATTTCATTAAAGCAGTACTTACACAGTATTTATATCTTTAAATACCTGCATTAGAGAAGAAAGAACTCAAATGAGTAACCTAAGCTTCTATCTTAAGAACTAGAAAAGGATAAGCAAACTAAACCCAAAGCCAGTACAAGAAAGGAAAGAATAAAGATTGGAGTACAATCAATGAAATGGAAAACAGAAAAACAATAAAGAAAGCCAATGAAATGAAGAGATGGGTCTTTTGAAAAACCAGCAAGATGAACAAAGTTTTAGTTAGACTCAACAGGAAAAGAGAGATGAGAAATCGAAGGAAACAGAGAGCATCACTACTGATCTCAAAAAAAAAAATGAAAACATCATAAAGGGATAAATAGTATGGACGTCATGCTAACAAATTAGACAACTTTGATGAAATGAAAAATTTCCCAGAGCTAGGGGCTGGGAGGAGGGGAGGCAAGGGGGAAAGGGATGGGAGCTATCTGTAATACTATCAATAATAAAAATATATTTTAAAAATTCCCAGAGGATGTAAATTATGGCAATGAACACAAGAAAAAAATAGAAAATCTGGACATTTTTTAAAATGGAGTCCGTAATTAATATTTCAAAAAAAGAAAAGCTCAAGCCCAGTGGCCTTACTAATTAAGAATTAAACATCTAAAGAGGGAATATATCAATTCTTCCAAAACTCTATGAGACAGGGGAGCAATGGGGAAGGGGTGCGCGCTCCGCTAGGCCTAGATGCTCGGGGGAGGCTCGAACTCGCAACCTCAGCATCATCGGCACTGATCTATAAGCACCGCGCGCTGAGCGACTACGCCACTGGAGAACCCGCTCCCTCTCCTGGTCACAGGTTACTCAGTCTGCGTTGGCTCGGGTGGCTGTGCCCCCGGAGCCCAGGGACCGGGTCCAGCCGTGGACCCCCTGCGCCACTCTCCCTGCCGGCACGGAGCCGCACTGCTGCCCGAACGAGGAGAGGACACTTCCAAGGCGACCGGGAGGCCCCGATGCGAGCCAGCCTCCTGGGGCTGCGCGGGTCCCGGAACCCTGTTGTCAGGGGCTCTAAGCGCCCGGGGAAACCGGAAGTTAGCGACGAGCTCGCGCACCTTCGTTATTTTTTCCCTCCGGAAGTTGAGATGCCTTCTGCTCCCAGGGGTTCAGGTTGCGACCTCTGACCCCGGGTCCGGGAGGAAGTACTGCTAGTGGCCGAGGAACCAGGGGTGGAGCGGACAGGGCCTCCCCCAGCCTCTCCCCAACGGCGGGAGGCGCCGAGTCCCCCGCGGACCCGGGAGAAGGGCCAACGGCTTGTCTGCTCTTGGGGCTCAGGTGAGGGGTCAGCAACCGGGACCGGAAGTGCTGTTGCGGGTTGGCCGCGGTCCAGACTAACCGGCGTCCCTGGGCGGGCCTGTCCCTTCCTCCCACGCCCTTCGTTTTGAATTTAAATCTCATTGGTGTAGGCTTCCCGCCAGCCCCGGAGGTCAGTCCCCCCAGAGACCGTTTAGTCCAGTGTTTCTCGTCCCTGCCTGCACGTTAGAATGACCCGGGGAGCTTTTTAAAAGAATAATAACCCACGTTTGGGAAGACATGCCAGGAGCCAGCCCCGAGGATTCTGATTCAGTCGTTAGAAGTCAGTGGTTCCTTTTTTCTTTTTCTTTTCAGATGATGGTTACATTTTATCACGGCTTGACAGTTTTAGCCAAGAAAGTAACAGCAGTGACACCCGCGGCTTGAGCAGAGTGGCTCTGCCTCCGGTTCCCGAAACCCGCCCGCCGCGGTGAGCGAGCTCGGACCTTGGGCCGAGTCAGGCCAGACAGTGAGCGCTGTTCACCCTCAGCTGGTGGCCCAGAGCAGGTGGGCGCCCTGTCAGCGGCGCCTGTGGCAAACCTTTGCCGCCGTCATGGTGCCTTGAAGCAATGACAAAAGCAGCACGAAGTAGCTGATCACAGATCATAACGATGAAATACTGACATGAAGGGAGCAGATGCTGTTGGGAAAATAGTGCCACACGCTGGCTGCCACAAGCCTTCCGTTCATAGAAGAGGCAACACGCCTGTCTTGTGCTGCGCTCTATTAGGCTTTGCAGATGTTGCGTTCTGGTGTCGCTTTCCCTCCTGCTAACACAGCATCCATTCTGCAGCCTATGTAACAAGAAGTAATTTCAAGGGGGAAAAAGTGATTTCAACTTTCAAGTCTTATTACTTAAATATTTTTGTAATCCTATAGCTGTTAGAGAGCAGGCAGCATTTTCAATCATGTGAGCAGTGTGTTTGCAAAAGAAAGAAGTTAGTTTCTAGCCCTTTAGGAAACTGAAATGTCAAATTTCATTGTATATTTTAAACTACATGTTTTGAAAAGTTTCATACATATGGGCATTGACATAATTAGATCATGAACTCCCCTGTGATCAATCAGAATCATCAACATTTTCCAGTCTCATTTCCTCTATCTTTTCACTATGTTTTTTGTGAGGTGGGAAGGTTGGGGTGGGGGAGGGAATAATTTAAAGTTAAACCTAGAGCTATCATATCATCCTAAATTCTTCAGTTTGTATGTCTTAGAGATAAGAACTTTTTATCTTATAATATTTATAAGTGCAACACCACTACCACATTCAGCAAATGGAGCAGTAATTTCTCTCTCTTTCTGTAGCAGTAATTTCTTACTATAAGAAGTTACTTGTACAAAAAGTAATTGGCAAAACTAGTATTTAAATGAAGGTTTCCTATCTCCAGTTTCTCCTTGACTCCTTTCCCAAGCCATTTTAAACAAAACAAACAAACAAAAAAACACAGTTGTATAATTTTAAGGGGCAACTTAAAGTTGATGTGGAGTAAGTGATTGTTTTTAATGTGTGGACTGAGGTTGTAAGTAAGAGAGTAGGGACCAATGTTGACAATGGAGCGTTTGCCTGTAAATATGTTTACAGTTTCCATCTGTTCCGTTTTTGACATCAGCAGAAATCAGTTTGTCCATTTGCTTTGTTTTCCTGGGTCAGTTCAAAGTTCAGGCTCCCACCAACCTAGAGATGTAAACATATTGCCTTCAAAGGTCGACTCCCTGCGCCTCCTGGCTGGGTCTGTGTGCACAGGATTGTCAAAAGCTCTCTCCACCTTGTTGAGTTATTTCTCATTTCCTGCCACGAATATTCCTTGTCTCCCCAGCCAAGGCCACTGCCCCGCTGTCCTCGTTCAGTAGCACAACTGATCAACACATGACCCCCTAGTGCTCGGCTGGCGATGCACTGCTGTTGCGCTCCAGCGTCCTAGCCAGTCCTGGGAATATGAGGGGAAAGGATATACCCAACACAAATTGCCCGTGGAGGGACACTGACCGTTCCTGGATCATTCATTCATTCATTCATTCCACAAATATTTATGCAACGCTTGCCTTGTGCCAGTAAAGTTGCAGGTGCTTAGAATTCATAGGTGAGTAGAATAGACAAAGTTAATCCTTGCCTTCCCACAGCCTACATTTAAGAAACATCTAAACAGAGGTTCTTAGCAGCCCTCTGCTTCTTGGTCTCTATTGTTATTCATTTATTTGTTAACTAGAGGCCCGGTGCACAAAAATTTGTGCACTCGGGGGGGAGGGGGGGGCCCTCAGCCCAGCCTGTGCCCTCTTGCAGTCTGGGACCCCTCGGGAGATAACGACCTGCTGGCTTA